CCGGCCGGGCTCTCTCCAGCCCGCACACGCTCGCCTGCGGGTTCTGGAGTCCGATCGGGACCCGGCAGGTGGATCAGGATCCAGTGGGGATGGCTGGAGAGTTGCTACCTGCCTGGTCTGCGCTCAGATCAGCACGGACCGTGCTGGCAAGACTGCTGCCCAGCTCCTCTTCCCATGGGACGCCCCGGGTTGCATGGGGCCGGGGCTCACCAAGGGGTCCAGGCCCTGTGCGGAGTGGGGCTGGGATGGGGGTGAAGGAGAGACAGTGGGGGAAGAATGTGTAGAGGTGACACGCAACGAGGGAGGGGGCTCACCTGCAGAGCGGGGGTCAGGAGTCAGCTGCACCCCCGGACGGTCTGACCCCAGCGCGCTCTCTCCTCTCCCCAGTCCCCAGTCACCCCTGCAAAACCAACAACGGCGGCTGTAGCAACCTGTGCCTCCTCTCTCCGGGCGGCACCCACAAGTGCGCCTGCCCCACCAACTTCTACCTGGGCGGCGACGGCAAGACCTGCGTCTCCAACTGCACGGCCAGCCAGGTAACCCGCTGCTGCCAGGCCCCGGTAGCTACCTGTAACCACAGCCAGACTCGGAGACGAGATGTTTCAAGGCCGGAGTCTCTTACTCCCGGCCCCCTGGAGATGTGGGGCTGAGGCTCCAGAGAGGGAAGATGTGGGGGAGTCCGGGTAGGCACCGCGTCATCCCAGCTTTGTGGAGAGGGGGCGGGGGGGAGCGGGCATATACCCCTCTTGCTCTCAGTGCATCTCGCTGGGCAGGGGGTAGAGCAGGGAGAGAGACCCAGAGGGAAAAGCTCCCTTGGTCCTGGGGGTCGCCCCCATGCCGCTGCCCCCGGGTCCTGCCTGGAGCCGGCCTCACGGCCTCGTCTCTCTGCCGCAGTTCGTTTGCAAGAACGACAAATGCATCCCTTTCTGGTGGAAATGCGACACGGAGGACGACTGTGGGGACCGCTCGGACGAGCCCGAAGATTGCCGTGAGTGACGGGGGTGTGTGGGCGGCACAGCCAGACCCAGGCGCTGCTCCGCCCAACCCCAGGGGCTGAGCTCCCAGTCCCATCAGTGACCCCAAGGAGAGGCACAGGGGGCCCTACCCCTGCCCGCTCGGAAGGTGGTGTGGGTTCCCCTGCTCCAGCAGCCTCCACTCCCAGTATGGCTCCCGCCAGCGGGGAATTCCAGGCCCTGACGCCACGTGCCGGGATGAAATGGGTCCTTTGCCTGTTGACGTCTCGGCGAGATCTGCCAGCCGCAGAGCCCCGCGCAGCCCTTCCGTGGGGGGGCCACAGGGAGAACCGCACTTATTAACCCCATCCCACCACCCCCAGGAACCAGGAGGTTTCTGAGTCAGGGGAGTTCGTTCCCTCCCAGCTCCGCTCCCCTCACAGAGTCCTAGGGGCCACCTTGGCAAAGGCTTCAAACCCCGGCCCTGGTACTGCCTGGGGAGCAGAGAGCGGCACAGGGCCCGACTGGGGGCGGGTGGGGCTCTGAAGCGGAGCAGAGCTGGGCCTGCCGGCCGCCTGCATAGGAGAGTGCTGGTGACTCAGCAGGGGGCGCTCTCCTCTTGGCCTGACACTGCGGGGGGGGCTACGCAGCGGAGTCCTTAGACTTGGTTGTTAATGAGTCCAGGTGCCTCTTGCAGTAATAGGGCGTCTAATGGCCAGTGCCCTGCAGCTCCCTGAAATCTTCCTCCTGCTTTTAATTGCAGACGGGAGTCTTCTTTGCTCCCTCCCCTCACTGGCTGCATAGTGTTGCTGCGTGCTGTTAAACAGCAGCCATGTCCCACCCCAGAGGTGGCTGCATTTCAGTGAGGGGTGAAACGATTCATATCAGAATTTTGTAAACAAGTTGTGGGACAATTTCCTGCCACCTCTGCAGCCCCATTGACTCCAGTGTGAGGAGGAGTGCCTGTGTAACACGCTTCCCCACCTGGTGGGATAACAGCCTACTGCTGCTCTTGGCTAATGGCACTACTCCTTTGGCTCATGCCGTAGGGGCCTGTGCTAGTGGTGCTGACAGTCCAGGGTCCCTGCTGAGGACCCCTGGGCCAGGCAGGTTTGCCCAGTGTGCGTCTCCCAGCGCTGTGGAAATGCTGGGGTTCATCCGGCACGAGGCGTCACCACCTCCCCTCTCTCTCCTCAGCTGAATTCAAGTGTCGCCCGGGACAGTTCCAGTGCTCCACCGGGATCTGCACCAACCCGGCCTTCATCTGCGACGGAGACAACGACTGCCAGGACAACTCGGACGAGGCCAACTGCGGTACGGCCCCCGGACGCCTGGGTCCCCAACAGGGCTCCTGATTCCCAATAGCGGCAATGCAAGTCCAAGCCAGTCCCCTCACTGTGTCCCCTTTTCTGTCCAGATATCCACGTCTGCCTGCCCAGCCAGTTCAAATGCACCAACACCAACCGCTGCATCCCTGGGATCTTCCGTTGCAATGGGCAGGACAACTGCGGGGACGGCGAGGACGAGAAGGATTGTCGTGAGTGACAGGGAGTGCTGGGGGGGGGGAGCCTCCTGCCTGCGGGCTCTCAGTGCCGCGGGGGTGCGGAATCAATCGCCGGGGGGCGGGTTTGCTTCCTCCCCCCGCTCTGCAGTCTGCAGCATGGACAGCCCTGCTCGCTGTATCCCAGCTGGAGTCGCTGCTGTTCTGATTCAGATAAAGGCTTACGTCTAATATCTAGTAGCAATGAGTTCCACAGGTTACAAAATAGCCGAACAACATTTCCTCGTGCCCGTTTGAAAGGCGCGGCCTTGTACCCATCCTCTCGTCCCCAGGGCTGACTGGGGGCACAGTTAGCCTTGGTGTTAATTGGAAAGGGCTTGTTCCTGCTTTTGAGGCCAGAGGTAGGGAATTCTCCCCGAGCCGCCTCAGGGCCGCCCGTGTGACGTACCTGCGCTGCCCGTCATGTCGCTGTGGGAAAAGAGGCTCGTGATTATCCCAGCCGTGAGTCAGAGGCTGCCGTGGGCATTGCTGGGTACTTTTCCCCGGGCCCCCAAGCCCGTCTGCGCTAGGGGGTGATTAAACGGCAGAGCCCCAGTTTCTGCTGCAAGGCCCCCCTGACTCCCCTTTCCTTTGTGCCCCCTGCGCAGCGGAGGTGACCTGCGCCCCCAATCAGTTCCAGTGTGCCGTCACCAAGCGCTGCATCCCCCGTGTCTGGGTGTGCGACCGGGACAACGACTGCGTGGACGGATCAGACGAGCCCGCCAACTGCAGTAAGGAGCCGCTCCCCCGGTGCCCTCAGTGGGGGCGGGCAAAGAGGGGGGGGTGCTGGCCTACGCCGACGCTAACCCCCCTCTGCCTCTTCTCCCCCACCCCCAGCACAAATGACGTGTGGTGTGGACGAGTTCCGGTGCAAGGACTCGGGCCGATGCATCCCAGCACGCTGGAAATGCGACGGGGAGGACGACTGCGGAGACAGCTCGGACGAGCCCAAGGAGGAATGTGGTGAGCTGGCGCCACAGTCGGCAGGGCCGGGACGAGCGGCTCTTGCATCTTCTGCTACGTTAGGGGAGTGGGGGTCCCCACAGATCAGGGGGTCGGTCACCAGGTGTGGGGGAGCTGATTGGCTCTGAGGGGGGTCACGGCTGCCTCTTGTCCACCGTAGATCTGCTCACGGCACTCCCTGCTCACCCCTGCACTCCGGCCACCTCTATTCAGCGCTCTCGCACCTCACCGGGGTGCCACCCCCGGGTGGGCAGATGAAATTGACATTGGTCTTTTTTTCCCACTTCACCCCCCACTCCGCCCCCATTCCTGGCCTCTCCCCTGCTCCCCCCGCCCTGCCTTTCACTGCAGACGAGCGCACCTGCGAGCCGTACCAGTTCCGCTGCAAGAACAACCGGTGCGTGCCGGGCCGCTGGCAGTGCGACTACGACAACGACTGCGGGGACAACTCGGACGAGGAGAGCTGCAGTACGTGCCACCGTCAGCCCCGCGCTGGCCCGGGGGCGGGGGATGGGGAGGGAACAGGACACGGCCTTCTCCAGCCGGAGGAAGCCTGCGGTGGATGCATGGCCCCGTGCTGAGGAGTGCGGCAGGCCGGCGTGGGCTGGTCCTGCTGCTGGGCGGGGGGAGGCTGGTTGCTGTGGGTGGAGACAGGAGTACCCCGCTGGGCAGCTCTTGGACGGGTCGATGAGCAGATGCACATGGGGCTGCGTCAGGGGCCTGCCCTGTAAGCCCCCCAGCGCGGTCTGTGGTGTGTCCTGGAGAGAGACAGGAA